CTATTGAAGACACTATCCCTTTTTCCAAAACCCTTCACTTATATCCTTATAGCAATTTATATATTTTTATTCTTACACTTGCATTATGAGACCGTTTACGTTTTCACTTTGCACTATTGGTATATTCTTGACTCCTCAAGCTTAAACATTACATCCTTTACAGTGCCGATTATCAAAATGCCACGCCAAACCATTTTGTCACGCTGCCACACGTCTTGCTGTTTCTGCCGTTTTCTATTACGATTGCAAACATATTGGCAAATTGATTACTGTTTTAATTTGCATTTTAGAACCACGTTAACAGGAACTTACCTTTTAATTTCTCAGCTCAAACCGTTCATATGGTATAGGTTTACTAGCATTCAGTTTCTTGCTTCATCTCTTGCGACTACCTAGTCTAGGCTTCGTATGGTCTTCACAATCCCTGTCACATAGATAACCGGCGAGATGATAGCTAGCCCTCAGGGTGCAACCCACACAATGTTGCAGGGCGATCGCTATTACTGTATGGAGGGGAGACGACCAGTGTGTGTCGGAGAAATGAGGAAACTGTCGGTGTTTGGCCACTAAGGTCGTTGAGTACCATTGTCCATGTCGAAGTCTCCCTGTCAAAAGGATAACATCGGTAGCAAATCAATGTTTGGTCCCTCCTGCCGGAAAGCACTCTTCTCGACGTTTGGTTTCGAGCTTGTCTGGTCTCATGAAGGAATGCCAGACCGTCTGTCACAGTGGTTAATGATTCTTTGAAGCGACCATTTTGAAACACGCATTGTGTGAATGCGTTACGACGCGCAATTGCTATGGGGACCGTGATTTGCATTAATGCGAAACTTGGTCAACTTGAGCAGTTGAATCGTAGCTGAAACAGATGGAAATATGGTACTGCTGGCTCGAAAGCAATGCATTCCACGACGCGTTTCTACCTTATTTGATTTCATCAGGTGGAGATAGCAGGCCTCGAACGCGGGACCATTAGGATGTTAGTTGAAACCTATACCCCTTTAGTCACCGGGTCACGACGGGCAACACTCGACACAAAGGTTAATGACTGATTGGACGGCCATTTGGAAATGTACGTTGTATTGGTGGCTGAGACTGGGGACGGATGGAATTGATGCGGTACCGATGGACTGGGTGCCAGACGAAAGCCGAGAACACAGGACTACTCCGGCGCAGCCGCATTCAGAAAAGCAGACTGGTCGATCGTACGGCAGTCGAAATACTGTATTTTATCTGTAAATAGCCACGAGTCTTCTTACTAATGGTTATGTGATCGTGGCTCCCACTTTCTTCTTGATTCTCGGAGGGCAACACGAGACACCGTGGATTGCGACACGCAATCTCAACGCGGACCGGGATTCACTTTGAAGTGAACCTTGCTCAGTTCGATCATTGCGTCTGTAACTGATGAAGCAGATGGATTTTGTGTGTTGCCTACTCGGAAAGAATGCGTGCCACGACCTGGTTTAGTATCTAGTGACACTCGTTGGGTATAGATATCAGGTTTACAGCTGAATCCCTGAAGTTTAAGTAGTAATCTACGCGTGTCCGGTTCACTTCCTAGTCAAGCTATCTGTAGTGGAGTGCTGCAAACAAATAAGAAACGGTTCCTGAGGTACAGTATTGCGAGCTGGGCAATACCTACTATTTGATCTACTGTAACTACCGTTCGCTTTGACTGGGATTCGCCTCAAAATTAACCACAGTCCAGTTGAATAGCGTATCCCATCGATTCACGCAACGGGTAATTCAGCAGCAACGAAGGTTGAAATCACAGAGGACGCTTCCAAGTGCATTTAACGGATTCGCTTGCACACGCGTTCATCTGTATGTCTCAAAGACATAGGTCACACTGTTTTACTTAGATCTGTGTGGTAACTTTGTGTTTGCAGTATTGGCCAGATTGCAAATCTACGAACGCGTCCGGTTGTCAGTTAGCGCGCAATCAGCCGTCCCTCGGAGTCACGTCTTTATTGCAAAAGTTTGCCCCCTTCATGGATGGTGTTACCCACCCACAATAGCCTGCAGTGATAAAAGAGGATTATGATGCAATGTCTGTAGCTACAAGGAAATAACCAGCGGGTTGCGCTGCACTACCTCCTGTAGGCATGGCATAGTGTGGATGAAAGTCACGGCTGATTCGGCGCTGATCCGCACTTCTTCAACGCAGGCATCATTGAAATGGAGTTCTGGAAATTGGCCCACTTGATATACCCAGGGCAGTGACTAGACGGTAGCGCGTTTCATGAAGGAATCAATTTTCAAATCAAGTGCTGCCATAAGGCCTCTTCAGCCCACATCCCTCCAACATCAACAGCGGATTTCTAGGACCAGTGCTCGAAGTGTTGCTTAATCTTCTCCAAAACACAATAAATTTCCCTGCTATCCTCTAGTAATCAGTAATCGCTTTAGCAGCCTATATGCCACCTCGGATGGTGGCGGCTTGTAAAGGAAATCGCAGCTCTTGGGCCCAACGCTATCCTCTGCACGTTCATAAAATGCATGGCCGTGGAGGATGAGTTGCACTATGTCACAGTCGGATATTAGTCACGGCGATCCGTTGCCATCACTCGCGGCTCAGCGGAATTACTCATGGTTTCGAATCCGAGAGAAATCTGTGGATGGGCGCCAATGACGAGCCCCAGTAGGATGAAATGGCTCTCCAGTGCTTTCCTAGATGTGTCGTGTCTGTCTGGCTGTGTCTAACTGCGACGAATCTTCTCAAAGACAGATAGGTTTTCTTAACAGCGCGCGGATTACGCACAACCAGACTTGGTAAACCCCACCAAACAATGCGGCAAAAGAAGTGACAGAGCTCGCTTGCTTATACAAGTGTATTCCAACTACGGCAAGTTAGAGCCCGATAGGAGGAGTACCTCCTAAGGAATTGTTCAGTGAACCCTATGTAGACCGAAACGCGAAAATCAAAATCTAACATTTTTCCAGAAATCCAGTGATCGATCCATTGGTCGGTCAAAATAAGTTTCTCGTATAATCTACTACTAAATTTGACAATTAAAGGATAGATCATCAGGAACGTACAAATAACGCTGGTCTGCACTGCGTAGTTTCAGTTTCAGTTTCTGACAAGTGAACTGGTAACCGAAGCATCACCTTTTTGATCCGCCGATTGGAATGGCCAGGTTCAATACACCCTATCAGAATGACACCTTGGTGACCATGACAAAGCCGCCATGATCAAAGTAACAAAGCTAGGAGCAGCGTCTTTCGCTTAGTTAGAACCACGTACTAGACCTAGCCACCTTTTTTTAACCATATCTCTATAACTCCTCCCGGAAAACATGTCAGTCAGATTTGGTTGAGACACACACACACACCCTCGACTGCATGTACGGTAACATGACCAACATGTCTATCTACAGCGGTCATCGGCATCTGTTCCCATTGCACTGGTGCCTATTTATACGGGCATTATTGACATCGTGATCTTGCTGTTGTCGATGATCCCCCCAGCAGAATTAAATGTTTGTCCGCGAAACAATCGTCTTGATCATATCTTGATAACGCGACATCTTCTCACGCATGTTTTTTTCTGCAATCATCAAGCTTGGATTTAAGGTATTTCGAAACTCCGATTACATCCGTTCAATGGACATAATGTGACGAAAGCAACTTGCGTTCTATTTCGTATTTGAAACCCTTGTGGACTCTTATTTTCAGGACCTCTATCAAACCAACAACTGCGCCGAATTTCCCACAGATACTATTGATGAAACCGCTTCAGGAGACAAGCGTCATTTTGTACGGCGTCCAGGTTTGCTGCCATAGAGAATTGACAAAGCCACTAATTCGTGTACCATCCTTTTGGTCCCACTGGTCTGAGGTTGTATGTATGCACCGTTATTCCAAGTTACCACGAGCCCCACTCGTCTCGGGTCACGAACAGGGAGCTCGGATGACAGCGGGGTTCCGAGACAGCGGAATTCTGCTGTTTTCTGTAACATCTTGTGGAGATATCTAAGTTTTTGATTGCGCTTTGGCTTTGAAGTTGGTTGCATCTACAAATGACAGACATGAACCTAGGACAGTCTCACAGTTGTTTGTGAAAATGCCTCTGTGGTATCGTGCACAGCGCCACGGCATAAGTTCGTGTTGTAGCGCTGCCCTGGCTGTGCTGTCTGCATAGTGATCCTTCTAACCCAACCGCGGGAAACAGTATACGAAACTAGCCTGACTGATATATTAAGGTCGGGGAATTGTTAGAATTATAAGTCACACATACTTCATCGCCTCTGTTTTCCATCCGATCGGATGTTGCTTGAGTGATTGATGATCACCTGTTTGCTTACGTCTGCATGTATTCACTGTCTCCAGTAGTTGGCTGTCCTCCAGCTTAGTCACTCGCAGCCCCGCTCAACCTTACCACGTAGCAACCCGTGCCATCGATGAAGAAGTGATTGCGTCAGATGCCCGCGTGGACTGTCGTAGGCTCGTTTCGCGTCTTGAAGCCATGTCTTGGCTTTCATCCGTTACGGCAGCCTAACAGTTCATTTCACGTTGACGCACTTTCAGTTGTGCTTGTCCCACTTATGGTTTCTTCAGGTAGATTTACCTGAAACTGGAAATCCAACTGGGGACATTGTAGGCGTAATTCATTGAACTCCAGGATTAACAGAGCGGCTAGCGAACTGCTGTGGGATTTCGCAGTTTCCATTGCATGTGGGAATAAGGATACACCGCTATCTCAATGGAAAACACGATTTACTTCCAGTGTAGCCTCAGTTTCTCCGATTAGTTGGACTAAATCCGAGATATTCATTGTTTCCAGAGCTTCAAAGCTCAATTTCACAGTAGATTTTAGTCCCTAAGAACGATAGCTGAGACCATTGTCGCAACATCGACAAAATATCCGTCTAATATTCTCATGCATCGCACCCTGCTCAAACGGTGACCCACATCGCTAACATTATGCAACTGTACTCTATATGATATCTTGATTTTCATTGTCACCATTCGCCACCATTTGTATCCACATGCAGATTACTACTACGCAAAACGGAATTACAGCATGTGAAGAAGCCGATCGAGTGAGTTCTACAGTTGTACACCAGTTGTTCACCTTAAAGCCATGTTAACCGTCTGTCAGGTGTTAGATCCATTTATCGTCACACATGCACACTTGTGTGCCTCTAGGTTTAACGAAATGCCTACACGGTCTGCAGATTGCACTCTTTTGCCCTTCCAATCTTTACCTATACCCAATGAAAGGCAAGAATTCTACTTGCGACACCTTCCTCGTAGACATTCACATGTAAAGAAAAACTTAAGCTTGCACAGAAGCAAAATGAATTATAGATAGAGATTATCTGAGCCATTGGATAGGGGAAAGTGTTGCAGTTTATTTCATACACTGCGCTCACTTGAACGATGGAACAATCCCGCTACCATTTCGATCGCGACTGCAGCTCGTTCATGATTGTGTCGATCAGATTGTACAATCACTTGGACCATCTTCATCCTAAGGTCTACTTTAACTTTTTCTTATCCAATAATTGGAATTGGTACGGCCACACCATGTCTAAAGCCCAACTGCCAATGCAATTTGGTTGATACCCAGGCGCTTGCTTGATGTCCTTGAACGAATTAGTCGAATTACCAGCGTCACCCGTGCCAGAAAAGCATCCGACTGTTTCTGCAACCCGCTCTGTCTGACAAACGCCTTGCCGTACGGCCAATGTAACCTGCTCCACGGGCTAGGTTAAATATGGAGTACACTCATGAGTAGGAGATTTTTGACGTAAATAGTTTTGGGTTTACTCTCAACAGCTTCCAACGCAGCTAGTTTTCACATGTGAACAAAACACCATGAATTCCTTACTCTTGAGTATATCAGACTATTCCCCCTAATATTTCCCAAATGCTCTGCCGTACATAACTACTGTTGGCGGAAGTGGTGTCTCACAGGGACAGTCCTGTTCTCTGCAACGTTCGTAAATTGCATGGCAGTGGAGAACAAGACGCGCTATATCACAGTTAGCTTGTAAATCATGACGGTCCGATCTGTTCCCCATTGCCCAGCGACATAAGCTTCTGACTCGCAGGGCAAGCCGCCAGTGATAACGGGTTCGGATCCTGATGGATCCGATGGTGCGCACAGCTGACGAGTCCCAACTGGTCGAGTCGGCTGTCTAGTGCCTTTCAGGACATGTGCGGGACTATCTAATTTGGAAGGTACTCCGAAGAAGCCCCAAAAGATTGACTGGTGAATACACCAACTACATCCCTGGTTGGAAGGGGGACTACTATCGGAAGATAAAAGTAGTTCTGCTTCTTCTAGCAATAAAACTATGAAGAAAAATACCAGGGAGTTGATAAAGTCCAGTCTAATCAGTTTGAAAACCTATAGAAGACTATAAAATCATTGATTTTTCATAAAACGACAAAATGAACGACTGTAATGTGCTGACTAGATTGGGTCGTCCTGTTTACGCCACAATCTAGCCACAGAGGAGGTAAACCTGTTGTCAACTATTATCTGCATCCATCTAATACTGACTGTGGCATATCGACATGCGCATTGTTGATGAATTCCGTGATGATGAACCGACCGTTTAGTGTTTTTCCGGACGTGTGATGTCTCTCTTACTGAGTCTGAATGCAATGAATTTCCGCTTATGCCACTAGTAGTACCTTTGACTTCTCTATCGACAGCTGAGTCAATCTGTTCAAGTGACGAAGATGGAAACTGCGCAAGCACAATTACACAAACCCCCCAGGCACTTGTGCTTCAGCCCATGGATCGAAGCCATCGCACGTGGTTGAGGCTGATGGGATCTGGGTCTTAGGTCTCGTCATGTCCGTGGCAAGCTGAGGACTTGCATTAGCGCTCTCTACTCGCATTGTTCAGGTTACGTTGACCTAATTAAAATAGCTCTGGTTGTCCACCTTCATTTAATAGGCGTATTGAGTCACTTTGTATGAGTCCGCTTTGATGCCTATCTTGTGCCAAACGGTCCTGAATAATACTGTGCCTTACCGCAGTGACATTTGACAGTGCTTCGATAAATTTCTCAACAGTGACCTGTCCTATTTACGAGGTACCAGGTATAGTGTACACGAACCGAACTCCACTTTTCCCACCTTTCCCAGCTTTGTTCAAAAACCTACGGCATCAATGCACTGACCTAGTACCCAAGACGTTACCTGCCGCCCTGCCTCTCTCAACACGATTTGAGCTGCCACACAAGAGATCAAAAGTCCACGATATATATATATATATATATATATATATATATACGAAAAAAC